TAAGTGTGGCCCTCCAGATTCATGCAAGTGATTATTTTAAATCAATTGGTGTAAATGTGCCAGGAGTCACACCTGGCAATAAAGAACTGCACTATTCAATTGTGCAATTGGAAACACATCCCAGATGAGACGAATTGTGCAGTGTGCCAATGGAAGTGCTCAGTCTATAGCACTTCTGCCTTGGCACTATTACAGCTTCAGATTGGACATGCCTAGTTGTGCAACAGGATTTTGGTCATTGACATTCCTGGCCAAAGCCCTGTTTGTTTTGTCTGCCTTTTTACATCTATCTGTTGCCTCTCTGTGCATGCGTAATCTTTCTCATTTTTCATGGGGTGATCTCTGCTGGCATAAATGCAAATTAGAGAATGCTCAGCAATTATACTCCAAGATTACTAGGATGGTTTTGGCCAATTATTTTTGCATCCCACTCAGAGATCTTGTGATTTAGGGTAAGATATGAATATTCTAAAAATAAATAAATTGCTCTTCCATGCATTGGCTATGCTGTTGGGACTTGCAACTGAAAAAAAAATCTGGAGGGCCACATTTACCCATCCATGATTTAAACATTCTTGCAAATAAATGAAATGTTAGAAAGGAAATGTTGCTTCATTAGTACGCCAGATCAAAGAGAGATCATTTTGCATATTTTCAGTCTGAAGGGAGGGAATTAGATTTTCTTGGTATGCTTCAAAAATTAACCCTAAAATATAAAATTGACTTGTGGATGGCCACAGGTGTTTGGGTACTCAACATAATGGGATTTTTTCTCCATTTCATACAGTTATTATGTCAGTGGCAAGACTTTTTCCCCAACATGCAGAAGTTAACTTGTCAATTGTCCATTCCTTTTCTTTTTTTGCTTCTTGTTCATCTTATGATTTATAGGAATAGCAAATTAAGGGATCACAATTCTGACCCTACATTAAGCTTGAGGTGCGTGAATCCTATTCCACCCTTATGACCACAAAATGGGGGTTCTACACCTTATATCTGAAACCAGCAAAACTCCACAAAAACTTTTGGGGCATTTTGGGAGCAGCAGTTTTGTGGCTGGGAGGAAGGTTAAGAAATGTCCTATTTATAATAACCATGTGCCACCAAGTCAGTTCTGACTTATGGTGACCCTTTTCAGGGTTTTCTTGCTCAAGTATGCTCAGAAATAGTTTACCATTCCCTTCTTCTAGGGGCACCCTAGGTTTGTGCATTTTGCCCAAGCCCACACAGGTTGGCTCTGTTTGCAAGAGGCAAAGTGGGAAACTGAACTTTACTGAGGTTGCAAGTTGACAGTTTTATAATTACAGTTACATTTTCATGGATTTCATAATCGAGCTCAGGTAGTATCAGTGTCGTCGGCTGGTTCTCCATCCAGACAATAACCATGCCAGCTGTTAGCAGTGACCATGCTTGTTTATTTTCAGCAAAGCTATATTTTCTGACCACATTGTTTGACTCATATATTAATTTGCTGACTTTCATTTCATCTGAGTCCACAATTTGCAAACAATCCCTGGAATAAAAAAAAAGGTATTCCCACCTTTCCATGGATTCCAACCTTTTCCTATTATTTGCATATTTTTTGCATATTGTTAAGAACAGATTCTTTGCATATTGTTAAGAATAGGTCAGTAAAAATTCTTGTAGAGAGATATATATCAGTGTGTACACTGTACATGCTATGATACAGGCAGAACTCAGATTACGAAATTAATGCGTTCTCTGAGACATTTTGTATTGCAAAAAATTCACAAACCGAAATGCAGTTTCCCATAGAAATGCATGCACGGGGGCGGCACTATAAACCTCCCAGGCGCAATGCAAACGTGCTTCATATTGCGGAAAAAAAATGTAAACCAAGGCATTATTTTCAATGGATGTTCGTTCATGAACCAAAAATTACGTTACCTGAGGTACCACTGCATATATGTCTCTACACTCATAAACCAAAAATTACATTAACTGAGGTACCACTGCATATACGTCTCTACATGAATTTTTACGGGCTATCTGAAGCATAGATTTTTAACATATTATAAAGTAGCCTATGAGCTTAAGAACAGCAATTTCCATTCACTCCTTTTTCTTTTTTCCTTTGAAAAAGGCAGCAGCAGCAGAAATCTCTGGAGCTATTGGTTTCATATATAGTACAATATGTACTATGCTGAGAATGACAAGCTTGTCACCTCTGGAAATATCAAGGTGCTAAAGTATTTGTTTTGGAGAGGGACAACAAGGCTATTTTGCTGAACTTAGGTCATCATGTTCAGGTCATAAGCCACAATGGAAAAACTTTATTAATGTAGCTTGTGCTTGTGTGGGTCTTGAGAGGTGACAATAGTCTGAAAATCATTCTCAATATAAATTTTTTTACATCGTTACTATTTTTAGGGACGTGGTGGCGGGCTAAACCGCAGAAGCCTATGCTGCAGGGTCAGAAGACCAGCAGTCATAAGATCGAATCCACGCGATGGAGTGAGTGCCCGTCGCTTGTCCCAGCTCCCACCAACCTAGCGATTCAAAAGCATGCAAATGCAAGTAGATAAATAGGGACCACCTCGGTGGGAAGGTAACAGCGTTCCGTGTCTAAGTCGCACTGGCCATGTGACCACGGAAGATTGTCTTCGGACAAACGCTGGCTCTATGGCTTGGAAACGGGGATGAGCACCGCCCCCTAGAGTCGAACACGACTGGAAAAAAAATTGTCAAGGGGAACCTTTAACCTTACCTTTATTTTTGCTTGTTTGCAAGAAGGTTCAACTTGCAACTTAGGCTTTTGCAAGTCATCACAATCCTGCCTGTTTCTTTACCAAAGGTAGAATTTCTCTGTTATGTTTGTGTGTATGAAAATTTGTATATCTGCCTACTTTTCTCTTCTTCTTTTTGGTTTGCAAGTGCATTCACACATATGAAGACCCACTTTTGATCCTGCTTTCTATCCCACCAACCACAGGGGGCTTGAGACATCATTGGAAGTGTCATGCAGAAGAGCAGCAGTAAGGAAATCTGCTGGAGTAGTCTTCTTTGGATATTCAAGTAAAACGTCCATGACATGTTTTCAAGCACATACACCTTCCTAGTCAGAAGCTGGCATCACTGATCTCCCCACAAAGGTTTTGCAATGACAAAATGCTGACATTCTTGTACCCATCAAGACAGTCCCCACAGCCAACCTCTCAAGAAGGACCCCCTCACAAAAGTAGACAGGTATCCCCATCCACAGAACAAAAAGAGTCTTGTTGCACCTAAGAGACTAACAAGTTTTATCATGGATAAGCTTTTATGGACTGTACCTGTAGCACGCTTTTCCAGATGCAACTGCATCTGAAAAAGTGAGCTGCAGTCCATGAAAGCTTATGCCTTGGTGGTCCTACAGGATTCTCTTCCCCCCCTTTTTTCCTGGAAAGATAAATATCCTCAGAAAAAAAATCAATAAAACACTTCTAGTTGTTTTCATTATTATGAGGAACAAATATTTCAGAAAGCCAAAGGACCTTACATGAACATTTAGGGCAAAGAACATGTTTCATTAAAATGTTGGTCACTCATAAAATAAATTGCAACGTACCCTTTGATCATTACATTCTTTTGATTTTTAAAGACCTATTTTGCCAATTCTACAGGGTCACCTAAAAAAAGGGTGGTCCTTTTACAATATATCTGATTCAGCTCAGGTACACCCCCCCCAAAAAAGAGAACGACAGAATATAGAGATACTGTGTTTTATGGTAGCCACACGTGTATCAAACTGGACAGACCCTGCCATTCTGTTTCTTTTGAAGGATCCTTTGCTTGGTTAGAATAAGGCCATGTATGATTAATTATATCTATGCCAAATCTAGCCTGTCATATCTAGTAAATGTCTGTACAAATTTCAGCTATATTGGAAGCCACACTGATTTACTGACAAGGTGAAAATAGTTTCCTTCGCAGATTATAAATAAAATAAAAAATACTGACAATTTTTGGGTTTTTCCCCCATGGCAGATGTCCCAGTAGCACAGAAAACTAAGATATATGCTTTCAATGTCTAAATGTGTCTAAAACAGCTATGTTGGAGATGTGAGAGTAACAGTCAACTTGTTCCCTATATTCTAACAAGAACAAGTTAAGTCTTTTGCAGTTTGGAAGTTCTGTGCTTGTTTGTTCCTTTTTAATAAAGTCCACTTGAATACTTTCTGATTCAGTTCCCTGAGGGTAAACTGCATCCAGACTTTGCTGTGGCTAACTAAGGAGTATGTAACATGGCTCCCTTGCTTTCATAGTTAGCTGGGTGTTTATACTGTTATGCTTTAAACAGAATCCTAATCATATACCCCAATGTTTTAGACAACAAATGCGAAGGTTTCAAGCTTCATGAAATTATCCGTATACCTATTGACACACGGGAACTATTACTAAAGTTAATGGAAATAATATGTAGGCAACTGTGGTTGACATCACATAGTTCATAAGCAAAAAGACCATCCACATTTCAAATGGTTGTTTTGCAAAAAGACTTGTCATTAAAAAATGAAAAAGCCACAACTACTAAAAATGCTTATAATGCAGCATTTGAGGGATAGTTCCATTTCAATCCTGTACACATATGTAGAAGACTCTTGGCTTTCCAGATGCACAAACCACTGCCGATTCGGTGGTCTATGTATTTGGTAGTTCCTAGGCCCCTCCTCCAGCAAGTGCCCAGCTATCCTGATCTGCCTCCTCTGGGCACTACCTCTGAATGGGTGCCTGCTGGAGGAGGCAGGGCTGGGAAGTGCTGAAGTATTCATCCAAAGGATGAACCAGCCGAACCAGTGATTCATGCCCACCTGTAGTTTAAGGTCTCGTAGCACCTTTGAAGCTATATTTAAAGAGTTGTGAACCTTTATATCTGTCTCTTTTCCATACAGCTTTGCCCTGCCTAGTAATATTTGCAATGCTGGCTCATTCAACCTGGTCAAAATCCTCGTGTTTGAGATATGGCTGAAAAACAGAGGGCTAAGCCCAACATGGTGCAAATATCAGTCTGTTCTAAAAAAACCAAACACAGTGTCACTGTTCTCATGAGCAAAAAACACAAACTACTGAAATTGGAAGTAGGATTTTTTTTGCTTTGTTTTTTTTTTACTAGGGTTGTCTTTACCAGCTATACAAAGTCTTTAAACAATTTATCTGTACAGCGCTCCTTTAATAACATTGCCCGCAGTCTAACAAAGTCTACCAAAGAAACTTCCCAATGGAGATTGTGCCTTTTTAAATATTGAAAGTCAACTTTCTCTCCTCTGTGGGATGGCTGACTGCCCTCCCAAAGATGTCCTTGGATAGAACCAGTATTACATATCAATTAAGTATAAAGTATGGTTAATGTAAGCAAAGCCAGCATGCTAATGTCGCACGAGGAGAAAAAGAAAAAGGACTTCAGAACACAGGAAAATGGAATTGAATGTCCAGTTGAAATCATAATCATAATTTTCTTAAAAAAAAAAAAGAAGAAGCAACATTCAAATTCTTTTGTCTGTAGTTATCCATCTCTGTTCTCTTCCCACGACTATCTCCTTGGGCTCTTAAACTCTTCCTCGGTACAGTATTTGTCAAAAAGCGAGAGTCACAAAGCAATTGCAGCAAAGTGTGGCTCTGCTCGGTTTCTGAAAGAGACTTTATTTCAAAATACCGTATGTATTTATATATTTGTAAATGGTACAAAGAAAAGTTGTAGATCCACACTCATAGGACATTTGTTCCTGTTTCAAAAGCATAGAATTTGCTTCTGAAGAACTGTGTGTTTCCTTCTCTTTCTGAGAAACACATACTTTTCTCTGCTGTCAAATCTGGTGCTTTATTTTCCTAAGGTATTTGACTCCACGTTAAATAAAGCCATGATTGTTTCCTCTGGTACAGAGTTAAAGTGCATTTATTTTTAAAAAATCCCATTTGGCTTGTAAAAGCTGGAGATGGTTAAAAGTTTAAAGACTTTTGTCCTATTTCGTCAGGCGATCCTTCTCTGGCTGCTGTCAGAAGATGTTTTGTTAGGTTCTCGGGTGAATCTGCAACAAAAACAAAAATGCAGAAGCATTACATTCATATGCTTGAGAAGTATCCAGTTCCGCAACTTAGCAAGTGCAAGCCATCTTCCTTGATGTCGTCAGAGGAACAGTAGGCGAGCAAGTTAATTCAACTATAATCATCATCATATGCCATCAAGTCAATTCTGACTTTTGGTGACTCTTTATAGGGTTTTCCAGGTAGAGAGTACTCAGAAGTGGTTTACCATTCCCTTCTTCTTGGGGGAAGTCTGGGCCTATGCAGCTTGTTCAAGGTCCCACAGGCTGGCTCTACTCACAGGAGGCAAAGAATTCCCAATCTGCGGATCCCAAAGGAATCCGCAGCCAGGTATCTAAACATTCAGCCAGCTAAAAGCAACTGTTTGTGTGTTTTGTGCCATCAAGTTGGAACCAACTTGTAGTAACCCTAATAGGGCTTTCAAGGTAAGTGAGATATTTAAGGAGTGATTTTACCAGTCCCACTTCCCCCGTGAATCTCCACGGCTGAGCAGGGCAAGGGGGCCTTGGAAGAGAGAACAACATGAAGTTCTGTTGATCTAAGCAGAGCTGTTAATGGAATGACATTTTGGAGGTCATTAATTCATATACTGTAGTTATAACACATCAGAAGTGACTTGATGGCATACAATATCTTCGGAGTTCTTTTCTTAATTACCAGATCCCTGAAGAGTGACAAGACAGGTGGAATGTTGAGAATATGACAGGCTATAGTCACCAAACTCTGCTAACATTGAACAACACCATCCCCAGCCACAAAGCAAAAAACAAAACAAAAAAAAGTAAACCACTTCTGAATATTCTCTACCTGGTAAACCCTTGAAAAGATTATCATAAGTCAGAATTGACTTGACAGAACATGATTATTAAATATTTTTACAACTGGACACAGAATCCCTTTGCCAACAGGAATGCCTGTGCGGCTAGGAAAGAGTTCAAAATTTCTCATTCTGAGAGTCAGCTAATTGAGTCCTTACAGACAGGGTCGAAGTTCAGATTGTCCCAGACCTGGAGCTGATTTTCTCTTTGAAGACTTGTGTCAGGAACCTAGTCTCAGAAATCCAGAGAGAACCTTTACTGAAAGCACTCTGGGCTGGGACAAACGCAACTGCCCTTTGCTTTTGTAATGCAGAAATGCTTTGAATATGCCTTGCAAAACTATATGTTAATTTTCTGGAGATAAAAGGCAAAATGCCCTCCTTTCTGGATGACTGTCACTGTGTCACTTACTTTAATGCAAGTCTTTTCAAAAAACTCTTCAAAGAAAACCTTTTTTTTTTACTGTTTCTGTGACCTTTCATTGCCCTTCAGACATCTCTCTTTCCCAGCCATGAAGCTCCAACAATGGATCTATTTTGGAAGGCTCTTGTTGGTAAACCTGTTCCACTCATGCTCAGTCTTAAAGTGGTTGCTCTTCCTTTTTGACAGGTCTTTTTTGAGAATCAAGATTTCAGCCCTTGCAGCCTGGATTCATTGCAAATTAAAAAAGAAGTGGGTGGGACCAATAATTCTCTTTCTGTATCAGCAAGATTGGTCTTTTCAATATGTATGAGCTATTTTAAGTCTGAGGACATTTAGGGTTGCTTGTTTCTGCACAGGGGGCAGTTTTACTTTTAAAAAATCATGATTTGAGGAGCCTTTGACCAAACTTCCCCAGCTTTGGCACAGAGCAGGAGCAGACCATTTGCTAAATCTGTTCCAAATTTGCTGCTGATCTGAAGCCTTGTTTGAGTTATATATATTTTTGTTTGGGCTGCTCCCAGCTTTAGGGTAAGCCTTGTAGAATCTTGATTTGCTCTGCTTAACAATAACAGAGCAGCACTGATGTGCAGCTGTACATAATCACCCTACTTATTGTTGTTTTGATTAGTGCTCCATATTCTAGGAACATATTCTGAGTGCTGTGGTATTACTGTGTATTAATTCTCAGACTATCCTTCAAAGGGATGATGTTGAACAACTTAATTGCTGAAAACATGTTTAATTTAAAATAGCTGAATCAAGTATGGAGACATAAAGACCAATCTTGTGCATACTTATTCCAAGACAAATCCAACTGAGATCAAAGGGCTTAAGTATCAAAGAAGACTCCTGACCACAGACTCATGAAAAAATAATGTTCACCTTTAGAAACAAGAGGTGAAAAAAGACAGACATTGTTACAAACCGTAGGAGTGGTTTGACCTCTGCTAGCACATGACACCCGTCACCTCAATTTTGTAAACTCTTCATCCTTCCCATGAAAGTTTCCCCTTCTTCAGCTCCTTGGGGGTTGGGCAGTGGCCCAGTTCTACAAAATTATTAGCAGGGGATGCCGGAGGTTAGCTTGCCTTAGGGTTAGATGAGACCACAAGTAACTTCTTCTCCTTTCTCCAGTTCAATGAATGAGTGGCAAGGAGTTAAAAAAAGAAAGTGCCACTGCTCATAGTTGGTAGCAGAGCTGTCTCTCTAGCCTCCTTTTTTATGTCCTGGGACTTATTTTAGAAGGATGCCCAAGGATGTGATATGTGAGCACTCTGCCACTCAGCCTCCAGAAAAAGCAGCACAGAGGGCTTCACTGCCCACTACGAGCAGTTGTGACTAGGATTTTACTAAACCTGGAGGGGGGGAGAAAAAGGAAATGAAGCATTTTGTAGTAATTTTTTTGCATCTTCAAAGGCTTTCCCACATCCCATCCTGATAATAATTGTAGGAAGGGTTTGAAGCAGACAGAACATTTGTTGGACTTCATGTGTACTCATGGTGATGATATTTTTCCCACCTTCCAGTTGATGAAAGACTCTAACCAGATCAATGTTGGCAAAATATGACTAAAACAAACAAACAAATGTGGGTTTGTATGTGTGTGCTTTAAAACAAGCAAACAAACAAACAAACAAAAAACAACTCCAGGAGATGCAGGTGGCTGAATGGGTGGATGAATGGGTTGGTTTCACTTTGTACCAGTGAACAAGAGATTCTCCAGTGGTAACTTTCAATTCAGAGCTAATCCACTTACTCCACCTAAAGAAAAATAAACTCAAAATCACAGCCCAGAAATCCAGTAGAAGACCATTTCTAAGATTCATTCCAGATTTTGAAACTCCAATGGCTTTTGATGGCAGATAGGCTATCTGAATAGCAGTGGACATCTGCTGCCATCCAAACGTTGGAGATACCATGGCAAATGAACTAGGAAAAACTGCCACAAAACCCATCGAGTAGATAAGATCATTTTAAAGTGCTATAAAAGATTTCTGCAAGCATTTTGAAAGATGCTTGAGAAACAAGTGCTTTGCTAGGATAAGAGCAAAGTTAAGCTCAAAACCAAATTCTAGTAGATGCACATTCTCTTTCTAGATAGGGAGGCAGGGAGGGGGGTACCTTTGGCCTTTCAGTTGTTCAGGAACTCAGTTCCTAGAAGTGCCTGCCAGCCAGCTCAGTGCTAAAGGTTTGTTGAAGTTGCAGCCAAAACATTTGGAGGGTCTGATCCTTATTTTCACTTGTCTGTTCTGGAACCTCGGTTTCCTTAACAACAACAACCCCAAAAGAGAACAAGATGGAAAATGGCTACTTTGGCTCTAATCAACTCCCCCCACCCTCCATGGCTTGCAGTGCAGGTGAACAGAAGGTAGCAGCTGCGGTGATTGTGTTAGGTTGCCAGATGGTGACACAGCAGTTGCACAAGAAGCAGAGAAATAGGTCTTAACGTTGCAGCTTCCGATGTCTACACATCAAAGCCTGAACTTTAACACTGAACTCTTGTAATACACCTTGTTCTCATGAAAGACTTGAAGAAGGCGAAGTGGTACTTTTTATTGATTCAGCTTTTGACGGTGAGAGAGATTGCTCCAAATAGCCTCCTTTTGTCAAAGAGAAATGAAATAGGTCAACAAGTATCTCACGGACTGATGCTCTGGATGGGACCTTCTCTGTAGTGCACGGCTTATTTTCTGTTCTACCGTCTGCCATTTCATGTAGTGAGGATGAGGCTCAGGGGTGGAGAGGGAGCAAGGTTCTTGTTTGGTGAGAGGTAGGAAAGATTGGGTGACACGTTAATGGTTGCTACAACAATATCTTACTGTCAAAATGCAAAACTGAAGCATATAAGTTGTATAAAATATTTTATGTTTCGAAATGGTTTTATATTGCTTTGTGACCTGCTCTGTGATGCTATGATATAAGGCAATCAATCACTCAATCACTCGATCACTCAATCACTCAATCAATCAAATAATAAGCAAGCAAGCAGTAAATGGAAAAAAACAGGCAAGGTTCCCAAAAGCTTATAGTTAGGGTGCTATACTAGCAAAGTAGGGTCACTGTTGCTTCTCGTGGGCCTTCCATGGAGTATTAAAAAAAAAGGGAAAGGAAAAATCAGAGATTCATCAAGTCTTTTCATCAAATCCTTTCTTAAATCACAGTTACTATGTAGGATCTTTCGTGGGACACATACAATTGGGAGCCACTCCTGGCTGTAATAATAGTAACAACAGAAATCAACCAAAACTAATTATGACATTACCATGGGGTGCTCTAGACATGTCTTATGGTTGACGGAGGCAAACACATATCTTTTTCAGAAGACATTCTAAACGATATAGAAAGGAAGGAGATAACTACTGTATGTACTATAGAGACACGTGGTGCTAAAAACAACAGCAACAACAAAACTAAACAAAAATATTGTACAAATGCTTTGCAATTTGTTTTCAGGGACCTTTTATCTGAAGGTAAAAATGTTTGGCTTCTTAATCAAAAGATGTTTGCTTGCTTGTTTCCATTGCTGACCAAAGCAGGCTGAACTGCAGTCAGCTCCAAAGACATATCATTTCCGTGCTAAAAATCCCTCTTGCTGTCTTTCATGGGCCTTGAAAGGGGGCATTTCGCAGGGTGTCAATTAGTCTTCAGGTGAATAGTGAGGGGCTAAGAATGACAAAAATACACAGCAGAGAGTCTCCCATGGTTCTTCTTTAATGAAAATGGTTTCCTGCTGCTTCTGCTCTTATTTCTGTTCCTATTTCCCACAGAATGGCCCAGTGGGAGTAACACTCTGTCATGGTGTGTCATCATTCACAGTTCTTGGGAAGTGGTGGGAAGAAGATGGCTAAGACCAGAAAGGAATGCGAGAGGTACTCCATAATTAGAGCTGGAAGCATGCAAAGCCAAACCAGCTAATTTTGGCCTCATGTGAAGAATATAAAAGCATTTCACAGCAGCTACTTCGGTCAAGGGGGAAAAAAACCTTGTATCCCTTTTTTAAATCATCCCGTGTTATATCATCCCATTTTATCATTCCATGTTAGAACACACACACCTTCACCAAGCATTTTAAATTTTTTATTTGTTAAAAATAACACCCCCAATCCTTCAGCCTTGCCCTTCAACCTCACTTTGGCTCACCCTTGTCACAGCCCTGAAAACAGATTTGTTTCAGAAAAGTGATTGAGATGATTTTGGGGTTTCTCTCTCTCTCTCTCTCTCTCTCTCTCTCTGTGTGTGTGTGTGTGTGTGAAATAAAATTTCAAAGAAATCCTGTACTTAATTCCTGAAGACCAATCACTAGACAATGCAAGCTGGTTTGCATATTCTCTGGGCTGAAAGCAGCTTATGCTGTGACACTCAGATGCTTCTAATTATGAGCTATATCTAGCTTTTGTTTCTGGCTTATGTCTTTGCCTGGTGGAAAAGCTAAATTTCTTTAACCAACCACTTCCCTGGGAACAACACTATACCGTGACACAGAATTGCTCCTACTGGATCTATGAGTCACAGCTGGCCATCATTTCAGCTGTGTATGTATGGGGGACTCTGCCACAACCTCTGTTTTATCAAACTACTGCTGTCTCTAGCCACTTCCCAGTTTAAAGCTGTCTCTAGAATTTCAGTGGATTTCTCCTAAAATTGCCCCTTTGATCCTCCCTTTTTTGTGCCCTCCCAGAACACAGCTGGGCAAGTGTCCACTAAAACTGCACTCTAGGACTGAGATATAAATTCTAAGGAATAATCTGATATGTACCTTATTTGTATGGATTCAATTTTTTTCTGTGTAGGTATGTTGCAGCCCATCCATCCATCCATCCATCCATCCATCCATCCATCCATCCATCCATCCATCCATCCATCCATCCATCCATCCATCCATCCATCCATCCATCCATCCATCCATTGCTTGATTAATTGATCTATTGATCTCCCTGCCTATCTAATCTCCTTACCTGTCTGTCTTGCAAACTATGTCCATATGTGAAAGTGTCTTTTTGTCTTTTGGGTTTTGGGGCTGTTTCTGTAGTAAATTTTCTGTTCTTTCTTGTCTCACGTAGAGCCCCTGAATATCAGGTCCACCGATAGGACAAGCTGGCTCTGTGGTATATTTCTTACTCACTTTTTCTAGGTCCAACACAGTATGATTTTTAAACATTCTGATGTTTGTATTCTAATGCATGCTATTATTTATGTCCTTGGCTTCACTGTGGCTTTCCTAAAGAAACAATTAAAAAAAACCCTGTACCACGAGGTTAATTTCGACCTATGGTGATCTTCCCATGGTTTTCTAAGTATAAACTACTCATAAATGGTAAACCAGTCTTTCTATCTAGAGGCACTCTAGGACACTGAAGACTGCTGAAGGCTGTAGAAGTGGTAGGGCACATAACCCAACCATTATCTTGGTGATCTCAGCTGGCTGTTCTCCTCGGATTTAGTGCAGAGGTTCAAACTCCCAGCCTCTAGCATCTCAATTCATTGAAGTGTACCAGGGTCATTAAGGAAAGATGAGATATAAATGTTTGAAACAAGCAGATAAGGAAACATGTAAGTTACAAGCTGCAAGTTATTAATTTCTACCCTAATAAAACAAGAACAACATTGAGTATCTCTGTGAGATGTGGCAATGTGTATGTTATTCCCACTTTCAACACAGCAGCTCAGCAGGTTTTTTAAAAAGTGCCTGCAATTATTCCCTACCCCCAAACCAAACTCTATTGCATGCATCCTCTGTAGATGATGGTTCCAGAGACAGTTCTTATGCTCACCCCACTAATTTACCTTCACCAGCCATAATATTTTATGTAATGTTTTCATGTAACCAAGCAAAACATTGCGGGAATTTGTGCCATTAGGTGCTCCATACAAGCTAATTAAAATAATCCCTGTAGGGAACTGATAGGAAAAGTACAGGATGAAGAGTAGGCGTCGTTTCTTTTCCGAAAATTTTCATCCATGGGTATTTAATTGAAATGAAATACAATAATCCATACTGAGCAGATTGAACTATGTATCTGAATATTAATGAGGCTTCAAAATGCCTAACAACATTTTCCAGACTCTGGATATTAACATACAGCTGGTTTGCAGGATGTTATATGAAGAGCAAAACATGCAAAATTGGAAATGGAGCCCTGCCTATATGTGTGTGTGTTCAAGAGTAAAATGCAATGCTTTGAAACACAAATATTTTAAGATGTTTTCTCATGTGTTGTTTCCAGAATTCCTTGCACATAAGCAGAGGGAGGATCGGCTACTTGGAAGGTGGAAGCTTTGTAGTCCTATGGAAGGTTGATCCCAGAGACTGTGAGAATCATAATTGTTGGTATGTGTGAAAGAAGATAAAAACAGCAATCATAAGCAATCCAAACTATCTCAGAGACAGTGTCTCCTTTTATGAGCCTGCCTGGGTGTTAAGTTCAACAGGAGAGGCCTTTCTCTCAGCCCCACCACCATCACAGATACGCTTGGTGGGACATAGCCTGTGCCTGTTTGAACATGAGAGAGGGCCTTCTTTGTTGCTGCTCCTAGACTTTGGAACTCCCTTCCACAGGAGGACAGACTGGCCCCATCTTTGCTATCCTTCCACAGGCAGACAAAGACCTTTCTCTTCTGGCAAGCTTCCCCTGAGTGAATGGCTATTTGAGTTATTTTTAAAAACGGATTATTGTGCCATACTGCCATGAATGTGTTTTGGTGTTGCTTATGTTGTTTTTTTTAAGGATTTGTTTGATCCTTTTAGTATTTATTTATTTTATTTATTTTATTTATATGCTGCCCACTCCACCCAACGGTCTCTGGGCGGCTTACAACAATTAAAATGCAATAAAAAAATAAAATGTAGCTATTTGTAGCTTTAAATATTGTCTTTTTATGAGGTGAGCCTTTTCTCTTAAGGAGAATTAAAAAACAAACAAAAAACATAATAATCAAAACGGAAGTATTAAGGCACTTATTTCAGTGTGAGTTTTCGTGGATTATAGCTCCCTTCCTCAGAGTGCAGTGTAATTCACAAAGGCTCACACTAAAAGAAATTTGCTAGTTGTTAAGGAGCTACTGTACAATGTTTTTATTTTTAAACTTTTTTTCTTTGTTTTTGTTATGCCTACTGAAACGGGCTAACATGGCTACATCTTTTAAAATCATTGTTGGTAGAATTCATAGACCTGAATCATATGTGACTAAAGGAATATTGCAAAAGTCTTTTGCAAATCTTTCCAAGAATTTTCCTTGTCAAATATTGCAATGTAAGAAGTCCAAATATTTCATGCCTACTTTTTGGGGGTGGGGGACATGTTAACTACCTGCACTTTACTTGTGAAAGGAAACATCACCATTGTCTAGAATTAATTTTTAGAAGAATAGCCTTTGGATTTTTTTTGTTTGTTTTTATTTTTTTCCCCACACTTCAGTTCTCTAGCTATTTTATGAAGTGTGAACTTGTAACAGAAACTGCCTTTGACGAAATCATTATTTTGCCACTAGTGGCAGAGTTAGACTCCTGGTTTGAGTCTGTATATATGTTCATAACCTACTGCAGAAGGGAGCCGACTTAGACTCTTGGCTGAGCCTTCCCCTATCTTTCCTAAAATGGCCTTTTTGATAGCTTACCCCAAGAGTGCACTCAGAACTCACCTATGAATGCTACTTGCATAGCAGCTCCCAGGATCTACCAGTCAGCCGGGCTATCCTCTGTCCATGACATTTTGCATAAATGGATCACCAGTCTTAGCCACGTTCCTAACTTTGCATGGAGTAGCTGCTAAGGGCAGACTGACAAATCCGATCACTGAATGGCAGGGGAAGACCTCTAGCAGGGGTTCCATTTTCCCATCAAACAAGACCGTGGCCTACTGAATGTATCCCACACTCTGAAACCGCACTGGTTGAAACTGCTGCTTTAAGATCCAGTGATAAGAGAAAGGGTAAATGCAAGTGGAACTAGCCCAGCAGACGGGCTGGTATTTTATTCCTTGAACAGAACACTGTTTTTAAGAGAGTGACATGGCAAGTCAGTGCCACTTGAGTTCAGCTGAAGAATCATCTCTGACTTGTGCAAGCAGTGGGTAAAGGCACAGGCTGCTGAGCAAGGAACCAGCTTATTAGCTTTTTTTAAAAAAACCAAAGGATGGAGATTAGAAAAGGTCAGAAGAGAGGGAAATCAATGTACCCGCCTGTCTTCCCATGGACCAAAAGAGACAAGAAACAAGAAAAAGAGAAAAAAACATACTCTGGTAGTCTTGACTTTATTGCCAGTTGCACACATCCATCCTGAATTGTCGGGTAATGTCTTGCATTCCTCCCCCTCTAGGCAGGGCTCCATCTCACACCACCATTTCCCAATGACTATTGATGCTAAAAGAGAACAGACAAAGCATTTGTCAATATACTTCCCTGCGCAAGTCACATTTTCCAACTCATTTTGCGCCATTGAGCCAAGAGAATTGGCTTGCAGGTGGGCTCTTTCGCACCTCCCCAACCTCTGCTTCTTGTCCAGACTGAACATTTGCTCAACTTTCCCTGCACCCATAACCCAAGGCTGAAGCTAATGTCAACAGAGTCAAAGCAGGAGGGGGAGAAACCTTGCTTTCTAAGTGTTTTTCTAAAAATGTAGTTCGTGGTATATTTTTGCCCTGCTTTGTTCCAGTTTCATCCACTGGAGATTCTGCTCTTATGGACCACAGTGCCATGATGATACATTCTGGTGCATGAACTTGGTAGGTATGTGTCATTTGATGATGTTCACATATGGGCATTCATTCATTTATTCATTCATACTCATACCTTCCCATTAGTGTTATTGATCTCTGAGTGGTTCACAACATTCAATAAAATCAAACAATAAAAAACCCTATGCAATAAATACAATAAAATACAATAAAATTCAACAAACAATCTCTAGCTAAACAACAAACCTGCCTTTATATAAAATTCAACAAACAATCTCTAGCTAAAGAACAAACCTGCCTTTATACAGAAATACACAAATTAAAAACCATTGGAGTCAACAGTCACCACTAGTAGAAGGCAGCTTTACATAATTCTGTCTTAACTATCCTAAAAACAGAGAAGGAGGACCTGGAGAACTTCTGTAGAAAGCTTGTTCCAGAGGGAAGGAACCATGACCAAGAAAGCTTGGTTCCTAGTGTTGTTGTTTTTTTTACTTCCATGGTTATTAATATCAAGGCCTTAAGGACCATGTGGGAAGGGTAGCTAGCTTGTGGAAGAGAAGTTCCACCAAAAATAGAGGTCCTAAATCATTAAGGGTCATGACCAGCACTTTGAATTTGTCATGGAAACGTGTTGATTTACCAATACACCTTTAAATTAAAAAAAGAAGACAGACACAAATGTGGTGGCCATGAAGCAATGTTCACACATGCTGAACTGATACGGAATAAAGCAATACATCATCAGTACAATTTAACACAACCCTCCTGGTGAGGGAGAAATAAACCGATTGCTGTTGGCTTTGTGAATGGAAAATTATGGAACAATCTTTAAAAAGAGCCAAACTGGTATAACTGGGGTTCTTTTAGCAGGTGTGATTGATTGATTGATTGATTGATTGATTGATTGATTGATTGATTCATTCATTCATTCATTCACTTGATTTATACCCAGCCCCCCTAGACAGCGTCTACTCGGGGTGGCTTATTTTAACCCTCAGATTCAGTTTGGGAAATTTATGGGGGTGGGGGGAACATGCTTTCAATAGGGACTTGGGACCAAAGACTCAGACTTTGACTTGAGACTCTGACCCGAAGACTTGCCAACATCCCTGAGAATCTCCCAACAAGCATGTCTGCTGGGAATTCTGAGAGTTGTGGTTAAATTTTTTAAAAAATTCCACATTTTTAAGCATAGAAAATAATAACAATTTTAAAAAATGTTGCTTCACGGAAGACTCTCTGGTGTTCTCTAGTTACAAGAGCACTGAGAGCTACTTATAAACAGCAAACCCACCCACTCTGAAGTATACTTTGCATGAATGCATTTGCTACTTCTGGCTCCAAGGTGTTGTAATATTCCCTGTAGTGCCACGTACATTGGAATAGAAATTCTCGCATATTGGCTCCAAAGGTGAGAATGGTTTTTCCCAGTGCTATTTCATTATCCATTTTATTACTGGTATTCTAAAGAGGGACATTAAAAATGGGCAAGTGGCAAGAGGGTTTCCTTGCAGTAACTCCGAATTCTTCTGATAGCTACCAAAATAGTCCCTCTCCTTATGAACGTTCCTTTACTTTTCCAATCCAACTTTTCCCAAACTTCATATAAGTATATGTAAATACACAGGGCTCTCAAAGCAAAGAGACAAAAAAGGAGCAAAAAATATAGCTGCCAGATTCCTGTTGCATAAATAATATCTACATAGCAACTATTGTGCCACTGGCAAGGCAGGACTGCTGGTAATTAAAGAGTTTCTGTTTTGTTCCTGTGGTTCTCACAAGCTTCTCACAATCCCAATTATTGTGTATGAATTGAGAGATCCGCAGGATCAGATCTGCTGCTCGTAACGCCATCATCCTTTAACAGGTATAATTTACACAATACGATTTGGAGGATTCCTTGACATACTGGAAAATCCCAGTTGTACGATTCTACCTATGTATATTCAGAAATAAGTTCCACTCAGTTCTACAAAGATCATTCCTAAGTAATTGGTATATCTGCTTGTCTGGAAGTCACATAAAGCACAATGATACTTGCTGTTCAGTACATATTGCAGGATTGTGTTGTTAGTGTATTAGAACCAAGAACACAGTGAGTCCTTTCCTCCCCAAAATGCAAGTTTCTTTCTCCAGTGAAAAGGCAGCAATTATTTCTTAACAACACAGAGTAATTGACCATAGACAATCAGAAAACATAATGTAAGAACTGGGATGACGGAATGACATCAGTTCCAGCCCAGCATTCTGCCTACAGATGCTGATTCCCCTGTTTGGAATATAACCCTCTGTTGATTTTTTAAATATAGAATCTGATTAAAACAGAATTGGATTGTAGTTGTGTATGGTGAATTTTCACTGAAACACCCCTAAAATGTTCAACTTTTGTGGACACAATTTGTTATTTTTTCACTTATCACAACTCTGTTCTTTCATCTATAACAGCTATTGTGCTAGATGTTTGCTTTATTTTGTTTCAAGAAGAAAGTTAGAATCATACCAAAGTAGTCTATATTTGCTTTCCCCCCAAATATATTAAATTTTGGACAGCAGATGCATAGAAGTTTTAACAGTAAAAAGGACTAATTATGTAACAGAGATAGAAGACATTTCCTAATGTTCAGTTCAAAAGTTTGAACTACTCTACTGAGTGAAAATACTGTTAACAGCAAGGAAAATATATACATTGTGGCTGAAACCCTGTTAGCATAACACCTGTGGAAAGCTAATTTCATCATCATCAGTGGATAATTTTTAGAAATTAAAATTTCCTACCTCTGTCCCACAGTTCCCTCAGCTTCCTTTAATCCTTTAATCATATGAAAGCCATGGGGCAGGAGGAGAAAGTCTTGAAATACCAAAAATCATTTGTGCACTGGTGATTTTCAGTAATTAAAGCACAGAGGAGTAGAAAGAGTACAGCTTAGAAACTGCCAAAGAGAACGTTTCAACCTTGTAGTTTTAGAAGAGGTAGCCATGTTAGTCTGTGCATGCATATCAGGCGAAATTCAAAGAAACAAAGCAAAACAAAACAAAAAGACAAAAACATGTAGCACCTGACATACTAAATATTATATTTTAAGGTAAGCTTTCATAGACACATTTGCTTCATCAGACATAAAGAAACAGAATGAAATGGAGTGAAATACAGATGAAATATCAGATTGACATTCTAAATGTTCATTGGTTACATGCAGTAGTTAAGCCTATGTTTGTTTCTGGGTCCTGTTAGGATTCCTTGACATACTGGAAAATCCCAGCTGTACGATTCTAAATGTTCATTGGTTACATGCAGTAGTTAAGCCTATGTTTGTTTCTGGGTCCTGTTGTAAAAATTTTTCAAGAAGACATAAAACAGACATCAGGTCTGAGCAGAGATGGAGGGTACAGAGAGAAGAGAGCGAAGGGGATGCAGGGACTGAAGATGCAATTAAACCTCAAGAGAAGAAAGAAAGAATGAAAGACGTTAGCAGAGGAATAACGTGTGTTAATGTAGGGAATATAGACAGTTTTTACCCTAGAGCCTTGTGATGAGTGATGGACTTGGTAGTTGTAAAGGAAATAACAGTGGCAGTGGATAACAGCAGAAGTGTTACATTCGGCAGTGGCTTAAGAAACCTAGGTTTATATTAAATCAATTTCTATGGGTGTCCATCATAAGTATAAATTATATTTCAACTGCTGCCCCCTGTATTCTTGATTTGTAATGATTCTGTTCTAAAACAGTGACTTTCAAATCTTCCACAGAGTGACCTGGCAGATTGAAATGGTTGGAGACAGGTTTCTGTGTATTGTGGTTTCTGATGTCAGTTTTGTGGCTGTTGATCTATTTCCATAGAGATTGTCCTATTTTATCCTATGTAGAGTACAGAGGGAAATTGTTGGCAAAAGATGGCATAGATCACATTTGCTGAGGAGTAAGGTGCCCTTGATATTGTATGTGGCATTGTTAAGTCCCGTGATTGTGTTGCCAGAATAGATGCGTGGGCAAAGTTGGCATCTGGATCCACGTTTATTCCCCGTCTTGTGATTTCTAATGAAAGGATGAGACTTCTCTGCAATGCTGTCTTATTATTTATGGTAGCTGTCCCTAAATGTAACCAAATCCTGTTCCCACTGACCTTGGTTGAAAGTACCAATAAATACTCAACCAACATTAATCAATATCAGACCAGTAGCTGCCACACACCTCTTTAATGTACATGTTCATTTGTGGTGGACAAAGGATGCCAAAGTAGATGTGTGCACATCACCACAAATAACATTTTTTTAATTGGAGAAGCTCAGTAATGTCAGATATTATACCAGAATTAGCTAGGCGTGGTAAAACCAGAACAACTTGGGGACCACCTAGTTTCAGTGTTCTCTCTCATACAGAGTTAAAAGCAAAACAAAACAAAAAGACAAAAACATGTAGCACCTGACATACTAAATATTATATTTTAAGGTAAGCTTTCATAGACACATTTGGAAACAGAAACAGAAACAAACAACAACTCATCATTATCATCATTTTCAAGTTCTGCCCTTGCATTACTGCTGTTGCGAAAACTGTCTTCTGTGCCAATTCTTAACCTTCCTCATTTTCAAGTTCTGCCCTTGCATTACTGATGTTGCGAAAACTGTTGGTAGCTCTTCTGTGCCAATTCTTAACCTTCTCCCAGCCACTAGATAGCACCAAGG